CCCCCCCCATCACAAACAAGGCAAACATTCTATGAGAATCTCATTGGGAACCCTGAGCCCAGCCACCCTCCTATCCTAATCTTGTCCTTTCAGACTTCTCTCTGCTCCCCAAACGCAAAGGAAGTTGACAAGGAAGACAACTTGAGTCCCGGAAGGATGCTCAAACTATGACTATTTTGTCAGGGGAGGGTTAGCGAGATGGCTTCCGCCTTTCGAAGTATACAGACCCAAATAGAGGCTATGCCAAAACAATAGCCTCCCATTTTGATATTTTATTTAATAAAAGTTTCTATGATTTTGTGGCAATAATGGTTTTACTTACCCGAGTGTACTAACTCTAGGGTTGCTATGATTCGGCATTGACTCCAGTGAGTTCAGTTTGGTTGTTGAGCATAGGACAGGGTTGAATTACCCCTGTGGGTTTCCGAGTTTTTGTCTCTTTCCTGGAGTAGAAAGCCTCATCTTTCTCCCACGGAGCTTCTGGTGGTTTCAAACTGCTGACTTTTGGCTATGAGTCAGAACCTTTAGTTGGGGCTTACCCCACAAGCCAGGCAGACCCCTGATCCCTCTGCAGATGGTGAAAGTGGTTTTTCTATTTGCACATTGGGCAGGGCCGCGAGTGGGTCATGGTGGTGGTGGTGGTAGACCCTCAGCCAGGCCCAGAACTGGCCGGGAGGCAGAAGATAACAAAACCTAACTGGAAAACAGCCCAAGCATTGGACCATAGAGCCTTGCAGCTGGATCCCCGAAGCTACTTCATTTCGGCATGTGTGACTTCCAGGATGCCACCTCCCTGCTCTGTAAAAGGGTGCTAATGGTCATGCTGACCTCAGAGGGCTGGTGGGAGATGGAGAAAGAGCTATGCATCTTCCCTGTCCAGCTCCCAGCTCCAGGCTCACATCTTCAAACCTCGTCCCTACTGCCCCGCTAGAGTTTCTTGCTAGCCCTCACTCTGTCCCCTCACAACCTCTGTGTGTCAGAGTAGAACCGAGTAATGTAGGATGTTCCACACCTGGTTTTTCTGAAGTGATTTACCAGGCTTTTGTTCTGAGGTGGCTCTGGGCAGACTCGGGCCGTTAACGTTTAGTCAGTAGCCCAGCGCATCAGCCATTGATACCACCAGGGGCTCCCAGTACTCCCGGGATCTGCAAACATTCAAATGTCATGATGGTGTTTGGAAAAAGCAAATATCCTGGATTTAATGCAGGAAGAATAGTTTTGAAAAGTTTCATGTCCAAAGTCACTAAAACAGGACATGTGTGGATCCCCTTACCCTACTCTCTTCCCCTCATCACTACTCTCATTTTTGGTCCTGAGGGCCTTATCTGTCCTGGATTCCCTTTGCTTCCAGCTCTTACCTGTACCAGTGTACATGCTCTGGTCTAGTCGGATTTGTAAGGTAGAATTGGGGTCATGATAGTGGGGGGGGAGCATTAAATAACAAAAGCTGTATGTTTCAGCGGTGCTGTACTGCACTCTGACTGGCTAGTCTCTTCCTTGTGACCCTTCTGTAAGGGGATGTCCACTTGTCTGCAGATCCTCACCCCCCTTTTCAATGGATTCCTCCCTCATTGACATAAACTAACTTCCACCCCAAGGTCTTTATCTACCCTTCTGAGTCGCTCTTGTAAATGCGCTCCCATATAGATTGTTCTCCAAAAGAGCTTGGTGTTTAAGGCAAACGTTCTTTACTAACTAACCTAACCTCTTATTGGGGGTAAAGTAGCCTTTGGGAGATCTTTTTGGTTTAAGATCAAAGATATAAAGATGATCTTCAGGCAGTCTTTTCTGGGATTCGTCCAGCTTCCATAGCCCCAGCAAGTTTGGATTCCAGGAAGATATATCATCA